GTGCTCCAAGGAAGGAAAAGAGGTGAACTGGCGACAGGGTCATGGGCGACCAAGGGTCATTGATGTGGTCACATGACAGTCATTGATGTGGAGAGAAGGCTGGCTGGTTCTGATGTATTCTGATAGAAAGGTGTCAGAACACACAGTGCATCACAGTTTGTTAGTATGGGGCTGCATAACATTATGACCACCAGGGTGCCCCGGCTGAATGGTGTATATTCAATGATAGATAGATAGGCAAATACTACATTAGAGAATAAAGTCCCTGCAAGACAGTAATTTTAAATGACTTGACGATTATTGTGCAGAACAACTTAAATGGAAACGTAATTCCGAGTAACAATAGAAAGTTGTCAGATTATTGGACGAAAACCATTAAAAGTGGTAAGTGAGAAAATATGCTTTCGCGTGCTTTGGGCAAACTTAGCTTTTAAAATCTTTGGCCCTATGTGTGACAGTAGGTCTGATCTAAACAAACTGCATTCCCCGCCTATTTTTATTGCAGTCAGTTAAAACTCATCTTTCCCTCAGTCTCAGGTGGGTGGAATCACAAGTGTAAGGATGATTAAGAGGAGGATGGAGAGAAGGACAAGGATACACACCGCAGAGAAAAAAGTGTGTTTTTGACTAAACCCTGGCCTTCATTGCACCAACCTGTCTAGTGAAAGTTAACTTTTCTCTCCACTGCTGGCAACAAGAACCATGTGAATGTTGTGGTTAAATTGTTTGAGCCTTTACAAATTTGCATGTAGAGAAATGGCCCCTGCTCATCTTCTGCTGTCAGCACACACAGGAGCAGGGAGGGTGTCTCCTGAACCACTTAACTAATACAGAGAGTCTACTGAACAAAGACATCCTTCCCTTTCAGGTCCAATCTGCCATTTTAATAACAAGTTGCATTCCTCTTGAACATATTTATACAACGTATACAACCGTGCCTCAGTGTTTTTCAAAACTGAGAGTGCATGCCTCTTTTAGCTGGAAGCAACATTTCTGGTTGTGGGCTGCATGGTTTTGAATATTACCCCACTGCTTCAAGATGTGTAGACGTCTGCGACATAGCTTCTGGGGAACATTAAAACCTTTCGATGTGGATCTGCGGCCTAATGCATCTCAGTGCAGATGAGCTGATTTGATCAGACAGGCTGAAGCTAGAGTCAGATGTAGTTGGACCATTGAGATAGCTAGCATTTTGCACCGCTAAAGCTTGTCAGAATATATGATCCCCAGCAATCAGTGAGAAATGTAGGGTAGTATAACAACCAAAACAATTATATCTATTATTTTATGTAAACAGTTCTCGGGACTTTGTACTGTAATCATAACAGTTCTGCAAGGTCCTATATAGCTATCTATAAGGCCCAGAAAAATAACACAGAAATTCTCTGGCACATTTTATTGAAACAAAAAATGTAAACACGTCCCTTTTTTAGATAACACTTGCGTACCCATGCTTTGTAGTATGGACTGGGTGCTGTAGAGATATATCTATCACACAAGATGCTAGTTTGGTATTAAAGGTCTGTCTCTTACTTGTAGTCTGCAGCTTAAAGGTGATAAGTAGTCTGGCCCATTTCAACTGAAGTATTGTGTATTTATTGCATTAAACAAGCAGTATAAGACCCCTATGTTGGTAACAGTCTACTGTTCATAAATCATCCCAGTAGATGAAGTCTAGATATTTGCTCTCTATGTATTTTCACCTCGTCCTGATTTCCTGTATTGTGGCTTTGCCTTTGATGTCCTTGCGGGTATGGAGCGCATAATGTGTGTTCCAGTACAACACCTGTTTTTAATTTCCTAACATGAAAGGCATTCCGATCAAAAGAAACAGAAAAACAGTCATTTTCGTTCTGACACGAGGAGTATGATCCTCAGCCTATATGTCACTCTTTCTTCCCTTCACCTGACCACCACTCTGCCCATCGACCCTCCCTCCCACCCCCCCCATTCTCGTTTGTTTTGTAATTTGCGGCTCTTGTGGCTCTTTGTTTTTTATATGCGTCGACTGCTTCACCTTACTGTGGCCTGTGAGAGAACAGCTCACGAACTTTTGTTAAGTCGAAGCCTCAGTCTGGGATTCTTTCTGCACTTCAACCGTGTTTGTGCCGCCATATTATTCAGGTCCCCTGGGACTGAGCAGTTTATTGTAAACATGTTACAAAAGGCACAGTACCTGGCCAATCTGACGTTCTTCTCTTCTTAAAAAAGAACTTCAAATTGCTCCAGGCATCTGGTCTCCACAGTTACCGACCTGCATCCAGTTTTGTTGTAGTTACCTGATATTTTATGGGGCCTTCATTTGTGTTTACAGAAACAACAGGCTATATTCTTAAGTTTTTATGAGTTTTCACAGGAGCTTTTGCAGATGTGTTTTGTTTTCACTTTTAGATTTCTTGGCTTTTTCCTGAGTACGGGCAGACTTTAAATTTGAGAAAGATCATATTGTAAGCATGCAGCATGTATTCAATATCTGTCTTTTCCTCAGCAACAACAAGGTATTGGTTTTACTGTTAGTCATTTAAGCAGTAAGTAGCATATTATCTAAGATATAAAAAAGAACACCTGCTATGTTTTGACTTGGAAATGGTAGAGGGGAAGGTGATACATTTGTACAGGCTGCCCATGCTTTTTATGGTTCCTGATTTGCTTGAATGCTTAACAAAATGCTTGGTTTCTGTCCCTGGATTTTTCTATATACCACATGCTGCAATTAATTGAAGCCAACTGGAGCACACCCTGCTGGCATTTCTGATTTTATTTGAATAAATTCAGAGGATTAGGTTTTAGCATGAATAAAATGTGCACACACAACTCAGCATACCTACCTAGTGTTTTTCTTCTGCTACTGTAGACTGTAAAAGTGTGTCACAGCCTTCACCGATATAATTTTTAGTTTTACATTTGCCATGCAGTCACTTATGTGTACCTATAACTGTTTCTTACTTCAACACTGTTAGTCAGTGGTCTAATAAAAAAATCCAATAAAAATTATTTTAGGCCATGTAAGCCTATCTGGGAAAATCATGTTTCTAAAAATGCATCATGGTAACGTACATTTAAAACCTATTAACATTAAATTGATTCAGAAATGTGTAATGGTGATACATGTTGCAAGCATGTATGCACATACTGCAGTGAGCCAACTAGAGCACAGAGTTTACAGAAGTGGAATTACTACTGGGTGGTTGCTGTTTCAAATTCCCAGACCAGCTGGGAATCTGGGCAGGGGAAACTGAACGAGAAACACAAACCCTCCTTCAGCCATTACTGTCAGTGTGCCCTTGAGCAAGGCAGCTGTACTTGGCAGCCGCTATACCTTTTTTCATCTTTACCTGAAATAACAAAGCTTAAAGTTGCCAAAATGACTGCAGTAGCACTAAATCTTTTGTAAGAGCTAACATAAGCGAATCCTTTAATTTTTGAATATTTTCCATTACGTACCACATATATTGGAAAAATTTGGGTTTGAATATCAAAGCATATTATTAGAGTAATATTACTGTATTACATATATTGGAAAAATTAGATTTTTTTTAACAGGGTTTGAATATCAAAGCATATTATTACAAACAGTAATCAAGAAACACTCTTGATCTCTTACATACTGATCTCTTTAAAATTCACTCAAACATCAAGATGTGAAATATCAAGATGTAATTAAAACCATACACATCTAATGTTTTAAAAGTCTGATTTTTTTAATCTGCCCTGGATTCTTGTGCGTAAGTTGTTCGTTCTACGTGTGCTACAACTCTCTCAAAGTTAACTCACTGGATAACTTGTGTGATTCTGATTGAAGCATGCATGAGTCCAACAGAGAACTGAGTTAACGCAAGTTAATGATACAGGTTCAGCTGTGTCTGTGTCTTTTGCCAGGCTGTGGAGAGCATCTGATTCGCACCATGCTGGCACGGGAATGCTCTGCTGCCATGCAGTCTGAAGATGCCCACCAAGCACTGCTGGAGGCTATGCAAAACAAGTTCATCAGTGAGTCACCCACATGTAACCTGATTCCCCCTACTTTCCATACACACAGATTTGTACAATTATGCACAAAGAGAATTAAACTAACAAACAGATGTTGCATAACAAAAGGAATGAGCTAACAACTGGAAACATTGGAAATAATAGAATCAGAACAGACAGCTTTTTTGATTTATGGATCGTTTTCACTGTTTAAACAGGACCTTCAAATGTTCCGCACATCATAGCTGACAGCCACAGACAATTTTGGAAGACATAATTGTTCAAAGTTCATGTGAAGATGTAATTTTTTTGCCATATTCTCAGAAGTGGTCAGTTTTAGAAATTCTTGTTAACTGTGTTTGCTTCGCCTGTGAATGACCACTGGGATAGCTCAGAGAAGACAGAGCACAGGAAGAAAGGACATGTGGAAACATGTGGTGGTTTCTGCCTTGTTTTGGCCTTCTTTAGAAGTCCGTCCCAGTTTGGCTTTGACATGGACATCTGTAACACCGAGCCGTTTGGACGGGCTGGATGAAGTCAATTTGAAGTTAATTCTTCTGTTGTTTCCTTTCAAGATGCACATTAAGTTAAACAAAGCTCCATAAATCCTGCCTTGGAAAGAGCGATGATGAGCGTCTCTGTGATGTGGAGGCCTCTCACTCAACTACCATGATACATTTGTCAGGTTCTCTAAATAGATCTTTAATGACAACACCATTACCATTAGTATTTTTAGATGTTTTTGTGAAATACAGTAACTCTCATTATATAAATAGACACACACACACAAATATCCATACTCCAGTGTAACTTAATCCCATTAATTTATTCTTCTTTTATTATGGGTAAAATAATAGTGAACATTAAGGCAATAATTGAACTGCTCTCATGTTTACAACATGCAAAGATGTCAGAGCTATTATGGAATGTTTAACAAAAGAAATTAAAGAGCTTTTTTTAAAATGTAGAACAAATACCGTGATTTTATGTGAATGTTGTTCAAGCTACACTAAAAAAAAAGTGTTTTATAGAGTGAAGGAAACATTACAACATGGAACCAAAATTAGTGTGAAATGCAACAAAGAAACAATGGCATGCAGACAAAACAATATTTTCATCAAATGCACCAATTGGTCCTGTTTTTTTCTTTTACTTGAGACATTTCAAGACGTGCTGTAGCTGTTTATAGTTAGTTCTTTCCCATTTATTGCCCCACACAAATCAGCCAATCCAAGTTTTTTCACCTCATTCAAGTTTGCCTCTTTTGAAGTTTAATCAGAGAGCAAAGAAATTCTCATACCACACATTACATTTTTCTGTTTGTTTTCTGACTGTGAGCACAGAGGTCTTTGAGAGTTAGGTAGCTGGATGTTTTTCTTCCAATGAAATATTGTTTTACAGGAGTGCATACAGTGTGGGGTGAAAATGACACTACCTGTCATTAGCCTCTTATGTGCTACAAACCTGTCCATTCAAATGGAGTGAAATATTTTTTACTGAACAGTCTGCTAAATAAAATAAATACATCAGGACAGAATAATTGCTTTCAGTTGTTTAACTTGGCCAGAAAGGCAAACAACTTGAATGGAATGGATTTCTTTCTCATAGATCACCGTAATTTAATTAAAAGCGTTGTGTTTTGTCTGGTCTTTTGATGTGTTATCCTTGGTCCGATGTGTCAGAGCGGTGAACTAAAAGAACACAAGAAGCTTTGCTGATTGAGGAGAAACTTGTCATCTTTACCACGTTTATGCCTCGTTTAGTCATCTGAAGTGTGGTATTTTCTTTCTCTGTCCAGGCTCACCCTTTCTGGCCAGCGAAGATCGTGTTCTGGGTGGAGTAATCGTCTTGCGCTGCTGCAGATGTGTGGAAGCTCCACCGTCGCAAAATATTCAGGGTATACTGGGTAAGACGTTAATCATTTCAAGCCTGATCACACTCAAACATCCACACCACAACTTATGATAGACAAATGATTTGGCTGTTAATATTTAAAAATCCATCATCAGATAGAGGGGGGAGGAGGAACTATGGCTTTCCTAGCGGGTGGTCTGTCTTTTAACTTGCACAATCAGGCTGTGGTTTCACACCCTTCATCTCAAATTCAAACTCAGACCTCCCACAATGGAATCAACTGCTAATCTTCAGACAAGTGGAGGCCCTCTAAATACTGCCCAGTTTGGCTGATTGTATTGGTGGATCTGGTTTTTCTACCTGAAAATGATCCTTCCTTTGGCAAAGCTACACAATTTAACTCAATCTGTCCAAAGTTGAGGCCACATGACTTTCTACTGGGTTTAATGTTGACCTTTGCCCTTTGTGTTGATTTTAACACCATGTATAGTCAGTTCCAATTGATGAGTTCAAATTCACTGATGGAGCAGAGCACATGTTTCTCCATTATAGGAAAGGGTTACATCTTGAATTCAAAATAACCATGATGGCAAATGACTAGTGAAGTGCTATTTATATTAAACATTATGTCATCTTGAATAATGTAATGATCCAAAGTATCACTTACTCAGTGATGTACAGGCCCTGATTGATGCTGTTTATGGACCATAGCCCTTGTGCAGATTGTGAACTACCTCAGATTACAGATTACTGTGGACTGCAGAAGGCTCTGTGTTGATTTACAAGAATAAACAGTGTGTCAACCACATCCTTTGGTTTCTGTAATTGAGTTTCTACTCAAACTCAGAAGTTCTACCTTCCCCTGCAGTTATGTCACAACTGCAGGGTCATATATTTTCATGATAATGGGCATGTTCAGAGTTTACTGCAGTTTACCACGCTGAGTCACCTGCCAAACTTTTTCCTCTAGCAGATGGAAATACTGTAGGTTTCTGGTCATTTTGTGAAATTACTTTAGTAGCTCTCGCCCACACCTTCACTCTGTCCACATGCTTTTTTAAATTTATACTACTATATTTATATAACTGTGTATTTATGTTAATTGGTTTTCTCCTGTTCAATCTGTATTGAACCTTTTTTATCTGTGTATTTTTCACAGTGGAGTTCCTATGGAGTCACACCACAGAGAGCATGTGTGTTGGCTACATGTCTGCCCAAGATAGCAAAGCAAAGGTGAGTTTCCCTGTTAGCTTGACAAGCAAAATGTCTTGCAAAGAGTTTTTAAATACACTTTGGTTATTTAGGACTATAACAATCCTTATGTAACAAAACCTTACATAACAGGCATGGATTTAGGCTGTAGTTCATTAAATGTACTGTATAATACTTATTTATCACTGACCAGTGCCAGTGCCTTGAAATTTAATCTGATCTTTACATAATTTATAAGCTATTGTTTGTCTCCCTTTTTGACTTGTAGTTCATAGCCATAGATTTGACCTTTATGAAGTTAGTTTTACATCACCAGGGTAAATAATGTTAAAAAGAAAAACATATTTAAAACAAACTATGTTTAAGTAATGTAGCAGATTTGTCTGCCAGACTGCAGAAATATCACTCGTAGTAGAATATGTGACATATTGTCAACTCACTGGTCTCACTGGCAATAAATGTAATTTTTATCTAGACCAGTATCAAAACTATGACTGATATACTATCCATTTGTATATTAGTTGTCATTTTTGTACTTTCACATTAACAGTGAACTGGGAAGTAATTTGGGGATTCAAGGAGACTGCTGAGCACAATATCAAAAAAGGAGTATACTTTAATGAGCTGCACTTAGTGAATCTCAGAGGCAGGAAGTCAGATCACACAAAACAGGACTGTTTATTTGATTTACTCTTGTATACTTCACATGTACCTTCATGTACCTAACATGTAGCATGAAAGTGGTCAAGTAGCAAAAATATCCCCCAAAAGATATATGCAACCATAGTTCATTTATTTAAAAGACAGGTTTGTTGTAATTCTTCTTATTCTACTTCTAAACTTGATTCATAGCACAAGTCAGATTTCATGTTGATCTATGTGTTACACCTGGGGCGAATTTGGGTTACAGCTTTTATTACGATTCTTTATTTACCGAAGAGATTTAGATAGCTGTCTATGTCCCTTTCCTTCTCCTTCAGCTGTGTTAGTTGCTGTCTTTGGTATGTAGTCTGCTGGTGACCTTGACCTTCGGATTATGGGACTAAAAATCTTTGCAGAACTCTTTTAAGTAGACATGACATTTACAGTTTTGTGAAAAATGGGTACATACATCATGAATGCTTGAGGTCAGCTCTGTGGAGGCTGTGGAGACAAAATTCCTAAGTACACAAATTGTGTCACTTGAATCAGTCAGTGTGACTTCTTAAGCAACATATCTTAATGCTCTGGTATCCTGGCTCTAAATGGAGTCTCAGCTCAGACTGATTTGTTTGGCTAATGTATCTCTGTCACTCTGTATAAAGAGAGGGCACTGTTGTTCAAGCCTGGCTTAGATTTCAAAGTGTTTGCCCCCCCCCCCCCCCCCCCCCCCCCCCCAATCCTTTCCCCTGTCTCTTGGTCTATCTCTCTCGTCACTACCCCTCTCTGGCTCTACTTGGTCCTAAAGTATCATAAAGTTTACTGAAAGTCATGCACCACTGGGGATATCAGTATCAATCTGCATATTTGTCAGATGTGCTCTGTGTATTGGGCTTTGTGGTGGAATGTGAGCATGCAAGCTTCCCTTTCACGCCTGTGCCAACGTAAAGAGGTGAGCAGAACACAGCGAACTGTGTGCTGTTCAGGGACACTTTAAATCACCAAACATTGCTTTTTTTTTTTTACATTTGCTCAAGCTAGCGAGTTGTGTTGACATTGTTACATAATATATTTATAGAAGCAGGCATTAGCAGAGAGTGGTATTACTGTTGGCATATAGCAGGCACAAGCCTATGATAACAATTTCTCCAAAATGTCCCTACTGTTATTGTGTCACTGTCATCTGACAATGACTCAGAAACAGTCGTCTTCTACTGTTTCACATGTTCTCTTTGCCACTGTGGCTCAAGCTGCACTGTCCACAGATTTTGAAGCAGCGCAAAGAACTATTTAGGAACAGGAGTCTTTAGCACTTACAGGCTGTACCTTGAAATTTAAACTGCAGAAACATCCTCGGTCTGGGCACCACAGAAACATTCAAGTGAGCGCATTTGTGGTCAGAGTTGTGGTCAACCAGTCGCTCAGCTTCACTTCATTAATTTCTTCATGCAAGATGTCCTGTATGACATTAATGTGTTCAGTGGGTGCTGATCCAGGAATATCATCTGTCGGTAGTGGTTTCTGGGTCTCCTGGGAAATGGTATCCACTTCCTCTCGACGGGCCGTTGGTGACACAGTGATATTGGAGAGTGCTGCCAAGAACACAGCTGCTCCACCAAACCTCACACTGCTACTGTTACTGCTACTGCTACACACCACTGAGAGTGAGCAGCTAGTTGTGGGACCGAGGTTACGGAGCTCCCATGTGCCTCTGTGGCTCTCACCATCTGCATCACAGAGAAAGGCACACGAGAAAGGGGCCGTTCTGTCCTTCATGCAAAACAAGCTTTCACCCGTTGCTTTCCAGCTGGGCCCGAGTTACCCACCCACTCACTGCTAACATATCGTCTATTGAGGGGGATGCCATAAGAGAGCCTCTGTTTTCTCTCCAATCTGGTGAAGTTTAAAAAGTCTGTTGCCTGTAAACCCAGTCTGTGTGCCATGGAGGCCCAGGGGCTGGCACCTGGATGTCCATGGCCTTGATGGCGGACACCAAAACTGGTGAAGTTCTGACTCATTGACTGAGTAGAACATAATGGCAAAAGTGTGCAATACAGATCATGTGGAGATAAATCATATTGGTAACTTTAGTCCTACTGTCCTTGCACTGTAGCACTGGGAACAACGCTTATGAGGGATGCTGGAGCAGGACAGACACTACATAACAACGAAGACTCCCTCGACTGTGTCATCATAATGCATGCTGAAGAAAACTTGATAAGAACTAGTGTTACCATTGCACCTAAATTGGTTGTCTGAATAATTTTCCCCAATTTAACTGAGTTGCAGAGATTGTGTATAGAGCCAGAGCGGTCCACAATCTCAGCTGCTATTGTACAGACATTCCTCCCATTCCTATTAGCATCCCACTGGGCACTTCTAACCGGCCAGTCAGAGTCCATCTTCTACAGCTTTTCTGTGATAAGAACATGAAAGGGCTGGTACACAGTAGCTGGAGTATTTAGGACATAGGTCAGACTGGATTTATATTGTCGAAAGTCTAGTTCTCTTACACAGTGTTTTACTTCTCAGATTTGTGCAGTATGTACTGTATATATTTTGTCTGACAAATGACAGTTGCTGCAGCTCAGTCCAAAATGTGTTGGATGACAGGCCAGTTTTTCAGATGCTCTGCTGGCAGGTCCTCTAGGTTTTTTTTTTCTTACTTTTCAGATGTTATTTCTGGGGAAAGCTGAGTCTGTATCCTAATCCTTTTGACATTAAACTGTAAAATAGCCATAAAGCAGCAGTGCTGCAGAGCATCTGGTTTTATTCAGACACTCACCTGTGTTTGCACTGGATAAGACATCAGAACATCAAGCCATGTTTTACAGAGCTACACAAAGCTGCACTGACAGGCCGGTGGCGGCGCTTCTGAAACAGTTAGACTATTGTGTTATTGTTTCTCATGATTGGACAGATGAAAGAGAAGTGTAGGGTCCACAGCACCACCACCATGGCTTAATTCCCTCCTCCTGGACATTATTACCACTATAAAGCCTTTGCTGCCCGAAATTGTGTAAGGCCAGAGAAAATCAAATGGCATGCATTTCAGGCCTCCTGGTTATTGTCTGCTTTGTATATTACACAACAAATGTCTTTTATTATGGTGCATTTTGTTTTTATTATCCATCTCACATGGTGAATAAATAGCATATGATTGTTTTTTGCTTTTCTTTATTTTAAAGGAAAAGAATGTGTAAACCACAACACAAAAACAGCGGCATAGTCATAGAGCTAAATTTATCCTTTGGCTTACACTGTGGTGTTAATGTGTGGCTTCTTCAGCTCCTAAACACATTCATATCACCAAAGAATTTTGTTTTTCCCCGACAGATACAATGGAACTGTGTCTTTTACGTTATGTTTTGACTCAGCCGTAGTCCTGTTATGTGGTCACTTCAGTCACTGGGTATCAAGCTTGACAACAGGCTCACTGTAGGTTTGCGTGTCTTCATTTTTTTTTTTGGCTGTCTATCTAAACCCCGCTGACATTATAAGTAGTTTGTGCTGCTTCTGTAAACATGGATTCCACCGCTAGAATTCATTAAACAAATTGGAACACAAGTTACGATAGGGTACATTGTGAAAGAGATGACACATGGTTATGATAACTCTTTGGCTACCCTTATTTTGAAATGGACAAAAGTTGCCTTTAAGTTATGTCATTTCATTTAATTAAGAATTGAAAATAAAAAACAATTTATTTCCCCATTTGCAGCATGGTGTGACTCATTGGTTGTGTGTACTGGGACAAGAATGGGAATGCTTCAGAACTTGGCTGAGAGTCATCTGGTTTTTAAGATTTCTTCAGTATCAAAGTAATTCAGGTACATCAAATGGTATGCAACAAAACATAAACTATTAATAGCGAATTTAATTTTCCAAAATTTTCTATATTTGACTTGAATATAAAAATTACGAGTATTAGTATTTGTTTTTTGTGTTGGATTCACAAATGAATAACAAAATAACAAATGTTTTATCCATTTTCTGATTTTGGATTCTATATTGAACAAAGAAAGAATGATAGATGGATAACTGCCCTCTATTAGCACAACAACAAGATTTCAGTCTAACTGCTTTACTTTGGTACTATATTAAAGGCCTAATGCTAATGCAGCTGAATCACCACTACTTCTTGTGAGTTAGTAATTTAGTGTTTACACATGAGGCTACAGCGTTGTTTGTCTGATGCAAACCACACTTGATGTCACTGAAGTGTTAGGACGTCTGCTGTGTGACTTCTTCACAACTGTGTTCCTGTAACCTGGACTTATGAACTAGCGCCGAAGCTTGTGAAAGGCATGCAACGCTCTTAACACTGTGGTGGTGTAATTACTCACTTGTTTGCTTTAGTAAGCTTTTTACTCTTCCTGCATACTCACTCATGTTGTCCATTCTGTCAGGTTGAAACAAAAATTAAGGGCTTAACATATGGTGCAAGGTTGCGTGTAGGGGTGAGGGTCAGGCCACACTGGTGTTCGTTTCAGACACAATTTTCTTGCATAATATATGAAGTCATACAGCTAGCCGCTAATTGTGCCCAGTAGTGTATTTTCAGCTGCGTATTCAATGTGGTCGGAATTTAAAAGAACATTGCAAAGCTCTTTCCCTCTGACAGGCAAACATCAAAAGGAAAACATTTATCATGTCACCATTAGTTCATTATATGACTCAGCTACGGACCTTCACTCAAAACAGTTTAAACAAAGGCTTTCTTTAACCTCATCTTTAAAAGATGAAGGGGAGAAGATGAACCCAGAAAGGGGTCCTGGAGGCATAATAGCTCCTGAGAGTGTTGCCATGTGTGCGTGGCCCTGTCTGGCTGTTGTCCCATTGTAGTGACAGTTGCCCTCGGGGTACCAGGGGCCATAGTCCAAGCCTACACAAAAAAGAAGTCCAGTAGAGATGAAGGCTCCTGCGACTGGAGGAGTAATGTCAGGCCAGTTCAGTGGCCTGGTCAATAAGTGGATGGACTCTTCCCCCCAAGGCTGGAGCCAGTGTTACCCTCCGTGGAGAGAGAGAGGAAGGAAGGAGGATGACAGCCGTTATTGGCACAGGGAAAGTTGGTCACCTTTGATCCCCCGGTTGAAGTATCACTCCCTACTTCACAGCTGTGTTTGCTCCTTCCCTCCTCCTCTTCCTCTCTGTTCAAATACAAAACACTAGCAGTCTGTTCCCTTCATCCACTTACTCTGTCTCTCAGTTGGCATCTTTGGACTTCAGGGGTACATGCCCATGATGCAACAGTAGTAGTGTGTGCTTGGATACTGGAATTGCTGGTTGCATTGTATTTATCACCCTCATTTATGATATTATTATTATTATTATTATTATTTTGATTATTTTATGGGTTTTCTTGCCTTTATTAGATAGTAGCAGCTGAAGAGTGACAGGAAAGTGGCTCCACCAAGTGAGATACCAGGGCGCCCGTTTTGTGATATTAGTTAAATTATATTATATCATTGTTCTAACGCTAAACCCCGCGCTTACCAAGCAAGCAAAAACTTCATGGTGTTGTCAGCTGTGAGTTGTCAGGCACAGTGGCTCCTGATACTGTCTCCCAGTTAGTCCTAGTCCTGATCCTGGAGCCTCTGAGTAAGGTCCTGGAGAGTATACTTCTTCTGGGGGACCCTAACTGTTGACATAGAAACCTGAAGGAGCTTTATTTGGAGAAACAGTCTGCCTGATCAGAACCTGAACAGTTGTTGTGCTTTCAGTCCTGGACTGTGCATTACACCATGTTTGAACATAAGGTTTCTCAGGAGTGTACCTGGTTCCAGATCACCCTGGATGAAAAATGAGCTAAAGGAACTTCAAATTTAGAACTGCAAAACTGACCTCAGCAGAGACTCGACTCAACGGAAGACCTCCCTCTTTACTGTAGCTTACTAGTGGTCTTACAGAGGCAGGTGCATCATGGGTGCAGGAAAGGAATCCTGGTCCATGGTTATGCATTTAACCCTCAGCTATGCACTAACTATTTGAAATATGATTGTTATATAGCCTTTCCATTAATACAGCAACCTACACCACTGTGAGGGTCCCAATGAACAGACCTGTAACTAAAAAAGCACAGGGTCTGTTAAAAATGCTAAACCTGGCTCAACATTGGCCACAGTGTAATACAGCGTAATTTAGCCACACACTGTGTTGGCGTCCATCCCTGGTACATGTATAATATGTATTGTCTACAGTATAATTCATACCGTCATTGTTTAATGTTTTCTCTACTTATGGTGTGAAAACCAGGGGCCAGATGTATAAACGATTTGTGTGCACCGAAACCCTGTGTAGGCCCTTCCCCACCCATAAAATGGTATGGTAAGAATGTGCGCACTTCCCGCATACTTGAGACCAGGCACACAGAGGTAAATGTGGGTGAAATGATGAGATGGACATGAGATATAAGTTGAGAGTTGTTTGTTATTTTGCAGTCTACACAGCAGGGCATGGAAATGAAGCCTTGTGTGTACGTGCTCGTTTCCACACTGATTTTTTTTTTACAGAATCAGCCAGATGTGCGGCTTTGTAAATCTGACGGAGAAAATGTGTTTGCATATTTCTGCCTTTGTACATACAGTTTTAGTCATGAATCTACACAGAGTTTTATGCATCTGGCCCCAGATGTTCTACAGCAATCCAAGAGATCAACACCCTGTTAGCATTTCCTTTTTCCCATGTAGCCCTGCCTTGGTGTGTATATCTTTCCCTGGGTGTTTGTTTCATTGTGTGTGTGTTTGTCCTCTTTTGTTGTCTGCAGACACACATATCCAGATTACCACCTGGGACTGTTCCTGGACAGTGTTTGGCCATTGAGGGCGGTGTGTGCCGACTGATGAGCAGAGGGGAGTGAGCCGCATTCGACCTCCTTCTGGGCTTCTTCAGCAATACTCCAATACGAACCCTTCCACCCACAAAAACACACACACACACACACACAACACCACACACACACACACACTCACACTCACCTACACCACCTTTGTGATGCCAGAAGTAATAAGCTTTAGCTGTTTTAACAGGTGCCCAGGAAGGAGGGAAGGGTGTAAGCTTCTACTTAGTGCACTTACAGGACTTCCCTTTGCCACTGTCTGCCTCCAGCATGTACTCTATGCCAATTTACCCCCACAAGCTCTACAGTGTCACCTGGATTAGACTTGATGCACCATTGCCTTGATGCACCATTTTTTCTTTGTTACTCTTTTCCAACTAAAAGTGGCGTCCTTCCTTTTGTATATAAGCTATGATTTAGGAAAACAGGGTGGATGTTCATGTTGTTTTGTATTGCTGAACAGATGTGACTATTTTCAAACGTTTAGGAATTTCAAATGCAAGACCTTATTTTGTTCTTGAAATACTTTTCAAGTTTAAAAAAAGATGTCAGATTGCACCTTGTGGACTGCCTGCTACTCAAGATATTTGTTATGAATGAAGCATTTATAGCTGTGAGAGTTGAACAGTAATGATAAAAATATATTTACAGTGTTAACACGTACAGATCAACTTCCATGTACTCATGCACACATATTGTTATTAATCCTCCATAATACTGTATAATGTAGCATAACGTGCATCTTAGATCATGATGAATTTTATAACCATTTCAGCCATAGAATGCTTTGCTTTGATTGTTTTGAAATGTGAATACATAGCTATTGCATGTACAAAATCTACAGTAAGCCACTACACAGGCGTAGAGTTGATCAAGAAGCAGGAAGCTATGCACTTCCAGAGTGATGCTGATTCATATATATATATATAGTGCTCAGGTAGCAGCATTTGACCCCACCGCCAAACATGACTGTTAGCCCTCATTTAAAAATCCTGATTTATATTTCTATAGTCAGATTGAAAGAGACATGTATTTTCTTGCTAAAAGGACAGCTAAAAACTCATGTGTATGCATCGAGCCCATGAAATGGTGCTGTTGAGAATTGTACTTGAAAGGAGTAAGGGTCTAAATTGATACTTTGGTTTAGATAATCAGATTCTCTGGTTTTGCTGTTTCACTCAGTTACTACTAAGAATTACAGTCTCAACAAAACCTTAATAGAGCTTGTTTATTCTTTACTTGAAAATGCATCTAATATGAAATGGTATAAGCTATTGAAATGGTAATATGTGCACAGCTCTCCACAGTGCTCGAGAAGTAAATAAAATCTACGTTATTACATTTCTGGGTCTAACTTTAGTCTGTTTAACATCCATGTGATGAAACACATTCTTCAGTTTTTCTTTTTTTACATTGCTATGAGGAGAACAGTTTGTGAAAGCCCTAACAGACAGCATAAATATCATAAATGTATAGTCTGGGAATAAATGACATGCTGGACAGTAACTGGAGTGGAAAAAGAATTCTGCAGAAGGACTTTTAGCATACTGAAGTCTGTGTTTGTCAAGGAACCTTGATGATGTGTGCCGTGCGTCCCTCCCACACCCATGCACACACACATACAAACACAAGATGTTTCTGTTTTTGTTTTTTTCACATTTAAAAAGGTTTAAAAAGATTACATAACAAATTTCTCCAGCATTTCTCAAAATACTTTTTTCCTACTGAGTTGTGTTGGTATGATTCCTCATAAATACACTTTTAAAGGCTCTTATTAAAGGGTGCATTTATTTATATCGGTTGTATCAGTCTCCAGGGAAAGTCCAGCTGCTGGCTCTGGACTGTGTCCACTGTAGTGTCTGAGAGGAATGTGCAATAGAGATGTTCAAGAGGATAAATATATTCACCGTTTGAAGAGAGAGATGCCTCCCTGTCAGTGCATCATGACCACGTATTGATGATATCCAGCCGGTTTGCCTCTCAGGTGTAAGATGTCACAGTCTTTTGACGTCGCTGACGTGCAAAGTGTATTTGACAGGTCAGGAGGAGCAGCAGAAGGTTGGATGGGAGGTGCTGTGTATGTTTGTTTTTGTCCCGCAGCCTCCTGACCCCGGTTTGATCTTGAGGGTCCATCTAAAAAGAGATGTATGTTACCTTGCCCCTCACCCATACTCACACCATTCTCCATTAGCTTGATTGTGTGTTATTATGGAGCACACTCTTTTCATCAGAGCTAATCTGTGTTGCTGGGAGACCCTCGGCTCTATTCAGCACAGAACCTGCCCCTTCAAACATCATCCCGCTCTGTCCTGGATCCCCTTTGCTTTGAAAAAGGATCCTGGGTCTTTAAAAAGTGGACGGGGTCCTGAGCCATTCAAGGTGTATCCAATGCCTCGTGCTCAGCCAGGCTCTTAAATGCAAAACAGACGGTAGAGCAAATAAAGATCAAAGGCAGCAGCCTTGCCCGCCTGGCCTGCTGTCCTCACATGCCAGGCAGTGCTGTCACAGTGAATCACGGCCATGCAGCTTCCCTGCTCACGCTGACCCCCCTCCTTCAGCACCTAAGGGCCACCAACCCCCTCGACACCGCTACAGCCCCCTCTGTGCCAGTGTCTCACATCAACACTCGCACACACAGGGTTAAAATCAGACAGCGTTCGGGGCTGCCTTTGTCAGACCAGCCCGGAGTTGACCCCTGGCGCTTCAGAGGAGCCAGGCATCTCCCACCTTTATGTACATAGCGATCCTCTCTTATCGTGTTCACAACAGTTGAGCAGTTCAGTGGTATCATAGTGATTTATTTACCCCAGCCTCTCAGGACACGGTGCAGAATTTCACTGTGCCTCTGTTTGCCTCTTTTATTTCCCCATAATGAAATCAAGGATCTCGAAATGTGTGTCTGGTGACTCAAAATATTATTTGTCTAGTCAATGATGTGTTGGATTTTAAATAAAGTCTGCCTCTTTAAAAGTCAATTTGCATTACTTCTACTAGCATGTGATGCTAGCAGAGCATATAAAACATGTGGTGGTACATTAGTCATAAGTTTAGCTCAATGAAAAGCATGACTGAATATAATAACTCTTTTATAAGAGGGCAAAGCAGGTTTTTTTTCCTTATGTTGTCCTCATTTGTCCGACAGCTTTGTGTGTGTGAATTTATGAGCGGGTGCATGTTATTTTAGCTTTGGTTTGAACTAGACATGAGCCAGGGGCAGGTGCCACTCAGGCCGTTTAACAAGATGATGTTAATTGCATGGTGATACTTTATGTTCAAGTAAATCGGTCATGTGCTTTGCTTTGCGTGCTTTGCTATTGTTCTGCCATAGATGGTGTGGCCGCAGAGCATCTCGGCGATGTCCTGGCAGCAGGGGTTAAGTAAGGCACCCTGCCCTCTCAGATGCTCCGCAGCTACTTGACCTGTTTGTTCAGCTGTACACCCAGGCACATATTTGCCCCCGGCCCCCACCACCCATTCCTCCCCTGACTTGTTGTGCCAAAGATGCAAGCCTATGGCAGGGAGACCGCCAGCAGCCCACCCCTGTTTTGCCGGTAGAACATTGGAGGTGAAGGTTGAGAGAGAGGGATAGGGCAACCAGATAAGCAACCTCCTCGTCCAGGTCAGCTATTCCAGATTAGAAGACCAAAGAAAAACCTTTTAATTAGGTTTGCTGTGCCGTTAGGGCCCTGTGGTATTGTGGCCCAGACACTTCCTGCATTGTGCTACACCACCCATAAAGTAGCAGAGCGAGGGAGTGAGCGAAAGAAAGTGAGAGAGAAGGAGGCTAAAAATGGCTCTGCCACATCTGCACCACACCACAAAACAAAGAGATGTCTTATTGCCACCATGCACTGTGGTTATTTACCTACCAGAAGCCTTGCAGTGAGCTCCGGCACAGACAACAAACCACCTGGACTTGTTTTAGCTTGAAATATATATATTTTTTTAAGTGTTGGAGAGCAGCTGAGCTTTTTCTTCTCAAGAATCCATCCAAGTTTCCATTGCTTTCTTCTTCTTTTTAACTCCTCTCTATTCCCACAGTTAGGCCTTGTGTGGAGATCTACTGAGAAATCCCAGAACCAGCCCTGTCAAACTTAGTCTAAAACAGTGTAAGTACATTGCACATAATTTCCTTCTCATAACAAAAATAGAGGCAAAATACCAACAATCATATCTTGGTGATGCTTAATGAGCCCTTTCGGATCCTTGACAATATACCACTAATATAGTGCTTTGCATCCTTTGAAACATACCAGAGTAGAGTCCTGGAAATAGTAACACAAAAGTGAGGCCTCAATGAGGCCCCACCGCCAACGCAACAGCTATTCTCTGCACTTTCTGTACTCGCTGGTCCACAGTATGTCTGCCCTCTCATCCATTTTCACACCAGTTTCGCTCGGCCTCTAAGTCTTTGTTTCTGTATTCCTACCTGGCACAGGAATCAAGTTTTGCTCGTGTTTGTATGGGAGGGGAGAAGAAACGAGAGATGAAAAGTGAGCAGGGTGTACGAGTAATTGCCTGCTCACAAGACACGTGGAGCCTGTCTGGAGAAGAGATATTGGGGACGGGGGGGGGG